TTCAGTCCTTTCTACGTCCCACTTCTTTTTAGCTAGCCTCTTCCTCTGAATGCTGTCCTGTACTTCCTCGTTCCACCACTATGTTTCCTTATCTTCTTTCCTCCTTCCAGATGACACACCTACCACCTTCCTACCTGTCTCTCTGATCACTTCTGCTGTAGTTTCCCAGTCATCTGGAAGTTCTTCCTGACCACCCAAAGCCTGTCTCAACTTCTGTCTGAATTCCTCACGACATTCTTTCTCTTGCGACTTCTACCACTTGGTCTTCTTTTTTGTCTTTCCTCTTCTTCCTGACCACCAGAGTCATCCTACACACCACCATCTGATGCTGTCTGGCTACACTTTCTCCTACCACCACTTTGCAGTCACTAATCTCTCTCAGATTGCCTCGTCTACATAGAATGTAGTCTACCTGCGTACTCCTACCTCCACTCTTATATGTAACTCTATGTTCCTCCCTCTTCTGGAAATAGGTGTTAACTACAGCCATTTCCATCCTCTTAGCAAAGTCCACCACCATCTGTCCTTCTAGGTTCCTTCCCTTAACACCAAACCTGCCCATCACCTCCTCATCACCTTTGTTCCCCTCACCAACGTGCCCGTTGAACTCACACCCTACTTGTGGAGCATAATCACTGACTACATTCAACATTACCCCTTCAGTTTCCAACTTCAAACTGATCACCCTGTCTGACACTCTTTTCACCTCTAAAACATTCCTCACGAGCTCCTCCTTCAGGATCACTCCTACCCCATTTCTCTTCCTGTCCACACCATAATAAAACAGTTTGTATCCCCCTCCAATGCTATGTGCTTTGCTACCCTTCCACCTGGTCTCCTGCACACACAGTATATCTACTTTCATTCTCTCCATTATGTCCGCCAGCTCTCTACCTTTCCCTGTCATTGTGCCAACGTTAAGAGTCCCTATTCTCAGAACTATACTCCTGCCTTTCCTCTTCTCTCTCTGTCTACGAATCCTTCTACCTCCTCTCCTTCTTCGACCAACAGTAGTCCAATTTCCGCCAGCACCCTGTAGGTCAACAGCACTGGTGGCGGTCGTTGTTAACCCGGGCCTCGACTGATCTGGTATGGAATTCGCACTGATGATTCACATGTTTAAATTTGGCATGTTTTTATGCCGGATGCCCTTCCTGACGTAACTCTCTCTATTTATCCAGGCTTGGGACCGGCACAGAAGTCACTGGCTTGCAACCCCTGTGGCTAGATTTTAACATATACTGTACAGTTAAAAAAAAACAAAAACAATTTTGAGATACTTATAATTGACTGTGTACATTTTATGATACTTTAGACTCCTTATCCACTACAAGTTAGATATGGTATGTTTTACGCCACTATTTATTTGAAAACTACAGATGCTTTGTAGATTAAATGCTAAAATAAGTGCTAAAATAAAATGCATTGTTGCAGATTATCCAATAGTATACCAAATATTTATCATTATTAGGGAAAAAGTAAGAGGTGGAAAGATAGCCTTCCTGTCCATTGTTCTTCATTTATGGAAATTATGATACAGCAATGACAAAGAAGAATAAACAAGTTTCACTGGGATTTGGATTCACTTCTTTAGCAGCTGGACTATAAATATATTGTAAATATGTAGCAATGACATTAGACATGAAAGTATTAAAATCAAATATGAATATGCTAGACTAAAAATTCACAGATAGTTTCTGAAATGTAAGTGTAATGAAATAGTTGGGATACAAATTCCAGTGTTACCAGTGTTTTGCTAAACTGTGCTAAATATGCTGACATGATGACCTTTCCCACTGTGAAGAGCAGCTAAGACTACAAATAAAGAAATAAAGGTGAAGTCTTCCTCTT